GGTCAATTTTTGTGTAAACGAAATACAATATTCACTTAATACACTCTTTTCCAAATGACTAACAATAACCAATAGATCCTAACCATCCGCAGACATACAGAAAGATGACAGACGGCATACACTGAATTATTTTATTAATTAAACAAGGCACTGTTTGAATACAGTAGCAGTAGCAATATCATTTAAGACTTAGTCCAACTAACATTTGTTACATTATTCAGTAGCCAGAGAGATTGACTAACTTATTTAAAGGAAATTAAATTTTCGTTCTGCAATTAGTAAAAGGATAATGGTATAAAAAGACACGTTTAGCTATCATTAGCAGTTATAATGAGAGATTGTTTCATTTTACTGCATGTTAACTATGTTTTTGGAGTCCAATTTTGATATGCAATAGTTTACATAGGAAATTAATCTGTGTACATTTGCATATTACTTGCCATGTCTAATTTGATCCAAGTAGTGTGTTCAAAGCAAGACATCTAGAGCAATATATTTTAAAACCACAGGACTTGTTTGAGAGAGCATGAAATTAGACCTTGATGACTTGAATGCAATATTATCAGTTATTATTTCATGGACTTAAATTTTAAACAGTTCCCTAGATTTGGCAAGGGGAAAGATGCATCTGTTATTTCGTAGTGGTTGAACATGTCCGCTAGTTTTAACTGAATCTTACATTTATTTGACAACAGCAATGTACGTGAAATGACTATAATATCATAAAACGGAAGTCAACTCAAATGAACATGTTGCATTCAGAGAGATTGCACTGAGCAAGTAAATATTTATTGTTACACTGTAGGACATTAGTATTTAATGCACGTATGATGACTAGATGCGTTGCATAATCTAATACTTTCAACTATAAAATACTTGCCATTAAATATTATTGTGATTTTTTTCATATTAACTAGTTCACATTATGAGGACCTGAAGTGCAAATGCATAATTGTTTTATTAAGAATAGTTTAAAGTTCATCATAAAATGAAATTACATACAAACATTACTTTTTTTTAATATCATGATGATTACACTTTGAATGCTAAAAATAAATCCTGGTTAAGAGAATGTTAATTTAAAAGTAGTTATTAATTTGATGGAATTAAAATGTCACGTTATATACATTGGTCATATTAGAATTTATTTTCATGTAACTTAGTGAATAAGTGTTACCAGCTTATTAAAAGTTTAAAATGACCACCATTTCCAGTAAATAGATTTTCTTAATATACTACACAAGTAACATCTGTATTTAATACCGGTACACACAAACCTGCCAAAATAAACCACTTTTCTAGACTCTACTCTATAAATTACATGGCACCTCTATAATCTGAGAATCTTTAAAAATGAACATTTTTCTCAATACCTTTGGTGTTCAACTTTAATAACAGACAAGTGTCATTGTAGTTTAAGATATATCAAGAATTATTGCTATTGGATATACACTGTAATTTGAAACATAACTTTATATATGAAAGCACTCTAAAACATAATTTGTTATATACTGTACTGAATATATGAAAGTTGTAATAAAAGTCAGTGTTAGTTCATCATGGAAGACTGCACAAACATCTAAAAATCAACCATGCTTGTAGTTGGTCCTCTGAGTAATCTGATACAACTCATACTGCATATAATCAGCATATTTATAGTCTATTTGTTTCTAAGTAAAATGTGTATTTAGTAAGTTTTAGGTTCAATACACATAATAGACATTTCTGTGTTATTGGAATGTTCTGAGCAAGCAAATTATTATCAAACTAGAAATAACAACATATCCCATATTTCATAATCATCCAAGAGAATTTACAAGTCTAAAAACAGAAAAACACATGACAAACAATCATGTAATCCAACAGTATACATTCAGTTGGCATTTTGATGTGTTTCAAAGAATAATTTACCTGTTGAATGAATGGTAAGTGCCAATAAATGAAAGATTAACTCACCTCAACAAGATAACCTGATCTGATTCATAAGCACCAACAAGAAGATCTGAAAAAGAAATAGTATTATAGTTAAATGCAATGCATCATGATATATCCTAACGTATAATAAACACACTTAGATCACAAGAAAAGAAAACAGAACAGTCGTTAAAGTTTAATTTTGTGTTACATTGGTTTTAAATGTCTTGGACATGACCACTGTGGTATTTGAACTGAAAGATGTAGTAAATATTTTGAGGCTATGACTGGAAAATTGCAGAGATACTACATTCTAATATTACGCGTGATCTTGGTGTTCCAACAGGTCAAAATATATATACATGTATAAAATACATCATTTTTGTCGGTATATTATAAGCTGTTGAGTGAATGTTAGCATAAATAGATCGGTTGAAGTGTATATACTGGTAAAAACAAACCAAACCTAAAATGTCTGGCTTACATGCGCTTCTAAACGATTTTCAAAAACAATTTGGGTGAGCTGCAGGGAAAATAAAGATAATTTTACTGTATTTTCATCACCAATTGCAACATGGCCAATGAGGAAACGCATTGTTTAATTGGTAGGTTTTATAAATAACAAGCCATGCATGGCACAGTCCCAGTTAGTTATCAAGTTATATACATGTAGTTTTGTTTATAGTAATATAGTATAAGTTTATATTGAGAAATATTGCGCTGAAACATCATTAATTAAAACAAAGTGACCACCGGTTTGATCCAAACTGCGTCTGAATGGGGACTAATAATATGTGCATCAAATCTATACATGTATTTTGTGATAGAAGCAAGAGCTAGTCATGCAGCATGTAACCAAGCTGAAACAATGACTATGCTATGCACATCCTCCTCCTCTGCTTTACTTTGCATTTTCTTGATTCAAGATGTAACAATTGTAATTTGCCAATGTAATTGCTTTGATGACAAATTCTAACAAATTAATTAGATTCAGTACCCAGAGCATTAGACGTAATTGATTTTATCATCAAGGTAATAACCTCATCTAATTTCTATGTTAAAAGATCCCTACACAGGGCTTCCTCAGCGCCCACACAGCTACAAGATCACGAGCTGAGCTTCCTTGGTGCACACACACCTACATGCAGTATTTTATCTGACAGCCTTTTTGTTTTTGGAGTTTACAGTTGTAGTGGTGTAGTAGAAACTGTATTTTGAAGAGAGCAAAAAGTTTTATTCAGTTTTACATGCATGATTTTAGTGCCATTGTTAATCAATTTGTCTATACTCAGTGACTAAAAGGATAAGTTTCACTTTTGAGTCATCTTGTGCTTTATTCCCACACTTTTGTCAGTTTGAAATGACATCTACTGAACACTTTTACATCTCAATCATGTCAACACTAACAGAACATTTTCCATGCACTGTAAGATGCCATGTTACGCATGAGATTGAGAAAAAGACAAACAAAGATCATAACAGTAGTTTCAAAATATCTTGTGGAATTCAACAAATGCGGAAGTATTTTGGGGGTATTTCCACATTTAATAATGTGTTATACATTTTTGATGGTTGTCAATTTTGATGAAGTAAGGGTATCTCAATGCCATATTCTTCTCTGAAAAATCAACATTTTGACAATTCAATTTTAAAATTAAATCATTTTATTTTGTGGCAGACGGTTGACTCGTGGAATCAAGACACAAATTCATTTTCTAAAAATTTTTCATATTATATTTGCTTATCAAGAAATTATTCAAAAATCTTCAAGCAGTACTGAACATGAAAAGACATGTATACAGACAGTGTAGTACATTGGGGCATCCACACAGTGAGCAGAATAATGGTGACATCTTGTCTGGGAGTGAATATGGAGATCGAAGCTCTGAAACTAAGACGTTTATAGAAGATGATACTGTTCAATAATAAATCACCTCCCTCGAGGCTTCCAAGAAAATGAAGATAATCAGAACGGATAAGATGCGGATGGTATACGTCAAAAGAAAAAGCAAATATTTATCATCAACTATTAACTCCACCAGGGGTAATGTATTCTCTCTGTGATATCAATGCAGCCGGCAGCAATGTACGTCCCAATATAAAATCAAACTTGTGTGACTGAATAAACATAAAATGCAAAAAAATATTTTATTCTATTTTTATATATGTTTTTGTGCAACCCAAAAAATTTAGAGCCAATATATATAACAAGGTATTCTGATGTCATCTTCAATGTTTTACACTCCCATAAGACGACTTTACACAGATTTTCAATATTTAGCTAAATCTGTTTAATGTGCACAGAGTATTTAGTTTCAGATTCCCTTGGTAACTTCATGTGTACTTAGATAAAATGGATTTCTGCTGTGTAATTAATTATGTATACCTTTGAATGATGGGGAGACAGCTCGGCAAGTGATGTTTATCATCAGGTGTGTTTCCAACTTATTACATGCAAATGTCAGTTTCATTATTTAGGTCATCTAAGAAGACATCCACAAAGTAATATAATTGTATACAAAGCTATACATCAAGTCACAGACTTGGACGTATGCCCAGAAACCTTTTAAGGCAGTACATATATACCACAGTGCAAATGAGTTATCTATAACTAAATGTGTTATACAAGTGCAAAGTGTATCTTTTGCCAGCCTAACTTTTATTAAGAGAGAACATCTCCGTAGCCAGCCTAACTTTTATTAAGAGAGAACATCTCTGTAGCCAGCATAACTTTTATTAAGAGAGAACATCTCTGTAGCCAGCATAACTTTTATTAAGAGAGAACATCTCTGTAGCCAGCATAACTTTTATTGAGAAGAACATCTCTGTAGCCAGCATAACTTTTATTAAGAGAGAACATCTCTGTAGCCAGCATAACTTTTATTAAGAGAGAACATCTCTTGTAGCCAGCATGACTTTTATTAAGAGAGAACATCTCTGTAGCCAGCATAACTTTTATTAAGAGAGAACATCTCTGTAGCCAGCATAACTTTTATTGAGAGAGAACATCTCTGTAGCCAGCATAACTTTTATTAAGAGAGAACATCTCTGTAGCCAGCATAACTTTTATTAAGAGAGAACATCTCTGTAGCCAGCATGACTTTTATTAAGAGAGAACATCTCTGTAGCCAGCATAACTTTTATTAAGAGAGAACATCTCTGTAGCCAGCATAACTTTTATTAAGAGAGAACATCTCTGTAGCCAGCATAACTTTTATTAAGAGTAAACATCTCTGTAGCCAGCATAACTTTTATTAAGAGAGAACATCTCTGTAGCCAGCATAACTTTTATTAAGAGAGAACATCTCTGTAGCCAGCATAACTTTTATTAAGAGAGAGAATGTGATCTTAATAAAACATAAGCATCTAATTCCTAAACGTCTAATATTCAAACGATGTGTAACTTTCAAGGGAGAGTACAACATCCTTTCAGCAAATGAGTAATCTATTATTTAATATGAACTAAATATCAGACTATAACTAAATTGGACACTGTCAAAATAACTATTGCTACGTTCATGTTATGGGATCTGGGCACGTGCTGAAATTTTTAATCCTGTTGTTTGCAGAGGGATTACAGCTGTTGCGTTCACATTAGTCTGGATCCATTTTGCACCCACTCCACACGAGTGGAGTACTCGTGCTGGAATCACACCCTCATTGTTTCATTCTTTTCTTTTATTTGTCCAAAACACGGAAAACAATATGCATATGATGATAATAATAATTGCTATATTGAAATTATATCTATTTGCTGTTATGGTATTTAATACGAGTCATAGACTGCAAAGGAGATGTGATTATTTTTTCAGGTCAATGTAGCATCGCAAGAAAAAACAACGGTTGCAACAGCGCATAAATATGTGTCCCTGACGACGATTTGCATTCATTTAATTCATTACTACAGCATTTGACCATATATAGCTACACTTCCTTCCATCGTCATGTCATACTTATATGAATCAATATAGGTTCTCTTAAATTCACCACCAAGGTGTGATTTTGGTTCATGCCAAGCATTCTGGCAGCAAATCTCGGCATGTGCCAAGTTTCGGTCCTGATAGGTGCTTGAGTTTTTTTTCGACACTTAACGACCTAATGGTTCCCACCGTTCACACACACACATTTCGACATGAGACAGCTAGATCCTGAGTAGCATTGGCTGAGATCTGTAACGTGAACACCACTAATGCATGTGTATTTTATTTATTTACTTGTTATTTAGGTCAACATGTAAAACTTCTCAAATGCAGAATGTGTTACTGCATAGCTTGTTTTTTCAGATGTTTGCTAGAAGACCGATCAATAAGAATGCTTTGATATGGAACAAGGAAAGGAATAGCATGTGGGACTCACAACTATGATCAATTCAAAGATATATTCTAGATTTGACCAATTTTAGCTTGCTTGTAAAATGCAAACTCAATTGCTGTGAGACTTGTATGCAAAGATTTAACAAACTTAGGTGCTCAGATGTGTTCTATTACAAACACACTTTCATTTCACAATTGCATGTTTAATCCTTTGAACACTAATATCATCATTTTAATAAACAACATTTTTTTTTTCAAATGGGAAAGTATGTCAATTTGTTCCAAGATTAACAAAGGAAATTTAAAAAAAATGTACAAAATGTTGCATTTTGGTGAGAAAAATTGTGCATTCAAAGAGCAAGCAGACAATCAAGCAGAAGGTGACCTCCCACCATTATTTTTCAATATATGAACAGTATTTTTACCTGTGTAGTGGTTCTTGTCCATATCTAAACCTCCCGACAAAGAAGAACCAAATGTTCTCAAATTACTACTGATATCAGAGGCTTTAATAATCTAGAAAAAAAGAAGAAAGGAAGAGATTAATACTTAAATATCATTGCTGAATTATTTAGGATCAATCTGTAAATGCCAAGAATATCCTGAGGGAGAAGAATAATCAACATCTGTGTATATTATTTTGAAATATATTTCTGTAGAAAGTGGTGGTCATAGCAAGGCCCAGAAATGACATCATTTAATATGCATTATACTATGTGATGAATTATTTCGGAAGTTGTTTGATTTGGACAAACACATACATAGACAGAAACTACAATACAAACAGACATATAAATAATTGGTGTGGCATAAAAATAATTTAGCAAGGTCATTGTTCAGGTAATAATTTTTTTTCTGATCCACAACAAACCACTAGAAGGTCACAGTGTAGTAACATAGATTTTGTTGAAATGTCTGTCATCTGCTCAAGCTATCTGCAGTGTTATCTGTTCTATGGGGTGTCCACACTGTCAGCAGAATAATGTTGACATCTTTTCTGGGAGTGGATACGGACAACTTTCTATGATGAGATCAGTTATATTTTTAGAAGGATCTAAATCAAATGCTAGTGTTATTTCTGCACTCTGTAAATGTACAGAATGAACATTAAACCAGATTTTGTTGTATGTCTTTCAAACAATTTCAAGTAACTGGAAGATACCCAATTTCTCAGTTAAGTTCTAGCCCGAAGAGTTCAGTTTTCCAAACATTTTTTAAAACTATTCTTTGAGCTGGAAACCAATGACCACAATTAGTAAAGTACACAAGATTAATGTTTTACAAAATGAGTAATCATTTTGGGCTCTAAATTATTCAAGCAATATAAAATAATTACTTAACTATAAATAAATATTTAATGCGAAAATATGACTGTTATTTATTATAGTTTAATGAATTCCTAATACAAATTTGGTTCACATCAGACTCATTGGTTTAGAAAACACATTTCAATATTCCTGCACACATTGCCCCAATGGCTTGGGAACACAATATTCTTGCACACATTGCACCAATGGCTTGGGAACACAATATTTCTGCACACATTGCACCAATGGCTTGGGAACACAATATTCCTGCACACATTGCACCAATGGCTTGGGAACACAATATTCCTGCACACATTGCACCAATGGCTTGGGAACACAATATTCCTGCACACATTGTCCCAATGGCTTGGGAACACAATATTCCTGCACACATTGCCCCAATGGCTTGAGAGCACAATATTCCTGCACACATTGCCCCAATGGCTTGGGAACACAATATTCCTGCACACATTGTCCCAATGGCTTGGGAACACAATATTCCTGCACACATTGCCCCAATGGCTTGGGAACACAATATTCCTGCATACATTGCCCCAATGGCTTGGGAACACAATATTCCTGCACCCATTGGGAACACAATATTCCTGCACACATTGCACCAATGGCTTGGGAACACAATATTCCTGCACACATTGCCCCAATGGCTTGGGAACACAATATTCCTGAACACATTACCCCAATGGCTTGGGAACACAATATTCCTGCACACATTGCCCCAATGACTTGGAACACAATATTCCTGCACACATTGCCCCAATGGCTTGGGTACAATATTCCTGCACATATTGCCCCAATGGCTTGGGAACACAATATTCCTGCACCCATTGGGAACACAATATTCCTGAACACATTACCCCAATGGCTTGGGAGCACAATATTCTTGCATACATTGTCCCAATGGCTTGGGAACACAATATTCCTGTACACATTGCACCAATGGCTTGGGAGCACAATATTTCTGCTTACATTGCCCCAATGGTCTGGGAACACAATATTCCTGCACACATTGCACCAATGGCTTGGGAGCACAATATTTCTGCATACATTGTCCCAATGGCTTGGGAACACACTATTCCTGCACACATTGCACCAATGGCTTGGGAACACAATATTCCTGCACCCATTGGGAACACAATATTCTTGCATACATTGTCCCAATGGCTTGGGAACACAATATTCCTGCACACATTGCACCAATGGCTTGGGAACACAATATTCCTGCACACATTGCCCCAATGGCTTGGGAACACAATATTCCTGAACACATTACCCCAATGGCTTGGGAACACAATATTCCTGCACACATTGCCCCAATGACTTGGAACACAATATTCCTGCACACATTGCCCCAATGGCTTGGGTACAATATTCCTGCACATATTGCCCCAATGGCTTGGGAACACAATATTCCTGCACCCATTGGGAACACAATATTCCTGAACACATTACCCCAATGGCTTGGGAGCACAATATTCTTGCATACATTGTCCCAATGGCTTGGGAACACAATATTCCTGCACACATTGCACCAATGGCTTGGGAGCACAATATTTCTGCTTACATTGCCCCAATGGCCTGGGAACACAATATTCCTGCACACATTGCACCAATGGCTTGGGAGCACAATATTTCTGCATACATTGTCCCAATGGCTTGGGAACACACTATTCCTGCACACATTGCACCAATGGCTTGGGAACACACTATTCCTGCACACATTGCACCAATGGCTTGGGAACACAATATTCCTGCACCCATTGGGAACACAATATTCTTGCATACATTGTCCCAATGGCTTGGGAACACAATATTCCTGCACACATTGCACCAATGGCTTGGGAGCACAATATTTCTGCATACATTGCCCCAATGGCCTGGGAACACAATATTCCTGCACACATTGCACCAATGGCTTGGGAACACAATATTTCTGCATACATTGTCCCAATGGCTTGGGAACACACTATTCCTGCACACATTGTCCCAATGGCTTGGGAACACACTATTCCTGCACCCATTGGGAACACAATATTCTTGCATACATTGTCCCAATGGCTTGGGAACACAATATTCCTGCACACATTGCACCAATGGCTTGGGAGCACAATATTTCTGCATACATTGCCCCAATGGCCTGGGAACACAATATTCCTGAACACATTGCATGACATCATTACATAAAAACCTACTTAAGTAGGGGAAAATAAAATCCTGCAGGGACTATGATGTGGATACCAGTACAATCACTTAGAGATAAAACTTATAAAATTGTTTTTTTCCTTTTTCCTCTTTAAGTACAAATGACAATGTGTTGTATTATTATCACATTTACAATTGTTTTCCGGAATTGTAAATTAAAGCAGGTTAAATCTGTCTAGTGGGTACAATTAATGCCATTCTTAGTATGTGTTCTTTGTAGGCCATTTAGGCCTGCCAGTTTCACCATGCTTGCGATCACAAAAATGTAAAGTTTAAGATTTAAAGGAAATAGAAGTAATTGATACATTCATTATTTTTAACAATAAGAATATGCAAATTGGAGAACACTGAATAGAAGATGATGAACAGAAGATAGCCCTGCCCCCTCTCCCAATTGACAGTGTTGTGGGTACATGTATATACACTTTCAGAATTTTATTTTTCTTGATAACTAAATCTTAAATATCTCCTTGCCCTCCATTTAATCTGCAAAGTGACATGGAACCTTTAATGCAAAGACATTTTGTGCCAATCTGGCATAGCTTGAGATAAGATCAGATTCACCTTGTCCAGGCACTTAGTGAAACATCATGAGTTCTACTTAAGAATAGACAGCTAACATTAAATGAGGGTAATATTTAAAGCGGTGCCAAATAAACCATGTGCTTTACCTGTGCTGGATTTTTTTTAAGTCCTTTAGATGAACCATGGTAGATGTACACAGCGCCTCTTTCATCATCTCCACCATACGGTGCTCCAATTGCAATATCTGAAATACCATTATAGAATTATTACTAAATAATGTAATAAATGGAAATGTAAACAAGCACACAACAATAAATTACATGTTGATCTAACATTGGAATTTCTTGGGGGGGGGGGGGGTCTGAAAACTATCAGGAAGATTATGGAGAAAAATTGTTATTATCCGGTACAGTAGAGAAGTAATATATTGGCAATTACGTTGGCGCTGAAAAAGAAATTGAAATGGTTTTAGCAAGCAAAATATTAGAACAGAGTTGTGTGAGATGCATCTATTACTTTTCTTGTCTGAAATAAAAAATGTTCCACACTCTACATTGGTCTATAGTAAATTAAAAGCACAATAAAAGTGTACGTTTACTTTAATCATAATTGGTTCCATATCAAATGTGCGAAATAACCTGGGCTTTTAATCAAGAAAGTCTATTTGCCACAGGTGAATCTTCACAATAAATAGTACACTCATTCATTTGACTGGTTTTGTTAATGAACATTTGACGATTGAAGAAGGCGTCTCAAATTAAGCCAAAAATGTAGTATACAATAAAGGCATTTCGGACGGATATCCGAAAGAGTAAATACGGTAATTACATCTGGGTATGGTTTTCTACTAGTTCATATGTACATAAAATTTCTTTATTTAATAATTAGCAAATCATTGTCAGCATTTGCTGGCAAACAACTGTCTGAGTACAACAAGTATTTAATATTTTCGGAATCAACCATAAATTTTAGAATATACTTGTTTCACTGCTGAAGATGGATGTGGAGGCTTTCCAATCTCGACTGCAGCAATCGATAACATGGCACTTCAAAATCAATTACCGGTAACAGTATTGGATAGCAAACACAAATATAGTGAAAGTGTTAACTCAAATTCACAGATCATTTATTTTCTCAAGACAAGAGACACTTTTTCATCCTTGACAGGTGTGTAATGCAATCAATGAGCTTCCATGTAAGGTGTTACACTCAATACTGAGGAAGGATTCTGTCATGCAGTGAAGAAATATGTCATGATAAGGTCAGACAAGCTCTAATATGACTATAATCCCAAAGAGAGCACTGTTTAACCATTTCAACACCAAGTTCTGTCAGCCTTGCACAACATATTTTTCCATATTTAAAAAAAATCAAGCAATGCCTGTAACCAATGGGAAATTATGCCCATCATGATTGTATGGGAGAAATGATTCAAAGGGTTAAACTGTTGCTCCTCAATCCCACGGATTGAACGAATGCATTGT